CATCTTTGAAAGTTAAGCTACTACTCCCTCATCGTAATTGTCGCTTTAGCTCTTTTCACACCTATTAAGAAAACAGTAAAAATACAAGGTATAGTTTACTAAGTTACTCTTTTCAAATGCTTTTTGAGAATTGAGCAGTATTAAAAATAACTACTACTTCTTTATTATTAAGGGTATAATTGAAAACAATTAACATATTTAGTCTTAAATTCCTAAAGTGACAATTATTTTGGGACAAATCTTTTTTAGCTAAAGTGCCTGTTAATTTGGGACGGAGGGAGTATTAGAGAAGGCACTCTTTTGTTTACTTAATTACGTTTTCAGCACACCCTTCATGTACTACCTTATTATTTTCAAGAGGCCAAGTAAGTGGAATAATTTTACTGAAGGGTGACAATGAAATTTGAACTCCACTTCTTGTCATATCATGTTGAATAGGGTGAACTGCCTCGTCTAAAAGCTTAAGTTGACAGAGATGACACACTTGGTTACTTAATTATGTTCAAAGTATGTTGAACTTGGACTGCAGCTTCGCCAGTTAAATTGGATGTGGTTACCAAGATTTCGCTTCTTTTGATCACCCTTATTTTTCTTTTAATTTTTTAAGCATGGATTGAGAATTGGAAAGCTCTATTAGGATGGGTATGAAAATTTGGCTATGCTCTCTATGTAACATGGATTTGGATAGTGAGTTCTGAAATACAAAAAGATGTTATAGTCTATTCATGTTAAGACTAATGAAGAGAGTGTTTCAGTTTGAGTGAGACAAGTGAGGTTACTGCGATGGTAAGAGCACTCCTGAGAGGTTGGCTTAGGTTTTACATGTAAAAAGGAGAATGTTAACAATGCAATAGATGTATGGTTGTCCTTGCTTTTTATGGTGAATGGTAACATATTGTAGAAGAAGAAGAAGAAGAAGAAGAAGAAGAAGAAGAAGAATCAGTGCGCAACAGAAGAAACGGAAAATAAAAAGCTTTGAAAATAGCAACTTCATCGTTAAATACTGTTCTTGCTGCAAATGCATAGAATTGAGACCAATGAATGCATAAAAATTAAAGGTTAAACCTCAGGTATAAACATCTTATGAATCATTTCTCACACTACTGCAGTAAAGAACTTTTTGAATTGAGGACATACACGAGTGGTTGCAATGATGCTTTTTCCAGTCTCTCCTTCACTTTTCTCATGTTACGTGAGAGACTGTTATGTTTTATCTTCTTATTTCTTTTCTGGATGATTCTTCCTTTGAACAAACTGGTAAGTGATATCTCACTTCTCATCTCGTTTGTCAATTTCAGGGTTATATTGTCCTCAATAGGCCATGGGCTTTTGTTCAGTGGCTTCAACAAGCACAAATTGAAGAAGAGTACGGGAACACACTCATAAAAATTAACTCAAAACAGCGCAAGTTTCTTGTTAGTTCCTTGGAGTATTTACTCAAAAGTAACTCTTTTGTGCAGCTACATATTGATGGCGGAACCAGATCATGTTATCGTCAAGCCCATTCCCAACCTATCTATGGATGGCCTTGGAGCGGCGTTCCCTTTCTTTTATATAGAACCCAAAAAGTATGAGTCTGTACTGAGAAAGTTCTACCCTGAAGAACGGGGACCTATAACTGACATTGATCCCATTGGAAATTCCCCTGTCATTGTTGGGAAGGTACTAGATTGTTTATATAAGTTATAGTAATTAGTTCTCGGTTTTGATTTTCTAAACGGGAATTTCCTTTTTTCCTTTTTCCACGGGATGATAATAGGAAGCTTTGAAGAAGATAGCTCCGACATGGATGAATGTTTCTCTGGCGATGAAAAAGGATCCTGAAGCAGACAAAGCATTTGGTTGGGTGCTTGAAATGTAACCAGCCCGCCTCTAATTACTGTTATGTTTTATCAATACAACACAAATGCCCTAGTTACTGAAAAATCCATATGCAGGTATGCCTATGCAGTTTCGTCTGCTTTGCATAATGTTGGTAACATATTGCACAAGGAATTCATGATTCAGGTATGATCATTTGCTTTCCTATTTATTTGAAAGGTTGATATTTTACTTGTTCCTTCTTTCTTTCCAAGGCAAAGCAGAGATAAAGAAGATTTGTTGTTGCCCATTTGAAAAAAAAATGTTTCAATGAGGGAACTTCTTGTGTTAGAAATGCTCAATACCCACACTAATTATTCTGATCATGTGGTGTGTGGGATACTTGCTAATGAAAAATCAACTGAATGGGCTCTGGCTTCATTGATCAGTATACACCAGTTCCATGTTATTTGGGGTGCCTGCCTAAGATTTTTCTTTGTATATCATGTGTTAAGGGCTTGCTTATAGCACCCAATTTTTTTGGATATAAAGATAGGCCAATGCGATCTGAGAAAAGTCTATCAAAGCATCCCGGTCTAGAATAAACCATTAGTTTACTCAAAAGAATATACAGCGAAAGCAAAGATTTGATGTTTGCATTTTTATGCTGTTGTGGGTGTTAGAATCTCTCCCTTGTGATGCTTTATCTCCCTTTAAAAATAGAGTGACATATTATATGCATAATTATAAAGGTTGGTAAAACACTATACCTTTTACAGATCCGGGCTTAACCATTTTTATTTGTTTCTTAACGGGAAAACTGGAAAACTCTTATTGTCTGTATAATTTGATTCCACGTCTGAAATGTGTATAAAGGGACAAAGAGTTGTAATTTGAAAGATGCTGTAAATCTTGTGCGGAGTAACAATTTCCTGGTGCTTTTGCCTTTTCCTCCTCCCAATTTTCCTACTATCTTTAAAAAATTTCACTGCTTTGAGCCTATTCAAGTAGCGCAGCTCTCCTTTACTTTCTAATTCCTTCTTCTGTTCCACATGTGCATCTGCTGTTGCAATAAGATTTATCCCACATAGACCTGATATCATTCCTTTCTCCTCCTTTTGTCGGTGCTCGTAGCAGCATCACGAGCTTGTAGTGATTTTGGTTGTGAGTTGAAAATTCATTGCAATATATCTTCCTTATGAACATAACCTGAAACCTAATCCTTCATATGTTGTTTAATTATTCCAGCCTCCTTGGGATACGGAAATTGGCAAGGCATACATAATTCATTACACATATGGATGTGATTACGATATGAAGGTAGCTACCACTTCCTTTTGACTATGAATATGCCAAGTTGTGATAAACTTAATGATGGGAACAACATGCTTTTCAGGGAAAGATGACCTATGGAAAAATTGGAGAGTGGAGATTCGACAAAAGATCATATGATAATAAGTGGCCTCCAAGGAACCTTTCTCTGCCTCCACCTGGTGTCCCAGAGAGTGTGGTATGGTTATCTGTCTTTGTAATCCCCATAACAGGAATGGTTCTAGGATTTTGTTTTACCAAAATTATAGATCTAATAATTAAAATAAGAAGTTGTATGTTATTGCGAACTTTCTCTGCTGCTCTTAGCACTAGCATTGCTAACCTTTTGCTGTATGGATGATTTACTTTGGATAAATAATAGTTGAAGGGAAGAAGTACAAATTTTTACAAGTAACACATGCATATTACCAAATTCTTAACTCTGATGAGATATTCGCAAAAGGTTTTAAAGCTTCAAAAGAAATTATCAATGAACATAGTCCCTCAAAAGATAACCTACTAAAGCTTTGGTTTCATTTCTTAATTTTAAAGATGATGGGGAGGGAGGAGGGGGTATTGCCATATTGGCTGAAAGGTGAGTAGGAGCAGCTGCCTCCTCTGGCATATCCCCCACCACACACACACAATGTCCCTTATAATTTTTCTTTTGATCTATGAATGAGCATTTGATGACGTATTCTTTTCTCTTTTCCATAATGGTGCCTTACAATATGCATTTAATTGCTAACCTAATTTCTAGTATGCATATCTGTTGAGTGTTGAGAGATCTATTTTGATGTTGCATGGATGATATCTTGCATGAAGTGCCAGTGGTTAATGAATGAAAATCACGTTGGATCTTTCATCCTATTTCAACTAATTATGTATTTGGTTTTTGTCAGGTTACCCTGGTAAAAATGGTGAATGAAGCCACCGCTAACATTCCAAATTGGGGTTCTTAGAATGGTATTGTGATTGAAGCTGTTTCACACACGCAAGATGTATGATGAGTTCGTAATTTGTACTTTCTATAGCATACAAGAAAATTCTATTTCCTCACTTCTGGTGGTAAATTGCATATCCCCTATCACTGTTGTCAGAGTATCCGAAACTTCTTCTATTATGGCTGCAGTTCCAACTCTCTCTATCCAGTAGGTTTACGTACCACAGTGTATAGTTGCAAATCTGATCCATATGCAGTAGTTTGCTATGTAGAAACAATGTATGTAGTTCTTGAGTTTACTAGTTGCAGCTCTTCTCATTGCTAAATAAACTAGTAACCTAATGACAATGATGGGATATCTTAAAGTTTGCTGTTATTTGTTACTTTCAGTCTAAACAGGATCTTACGCGTAGAGCAACAATCTGGATAACTTAAAAGGTTTTCCTTGTTATTATCAATTTACTGCACTGCAAAATACAATTAGTTGAAGTGAGCTATACGATTCCTCTGCATTCATTATGTTCTATTCAAGTCAGACCTCATCAAATTTAAACTGTCTTTTTGCTGACCATCAATATATATCAACATTCCTTGCAAAACTCACTTAGGTGGAGCTTCCCTGTTAGTCCAAAACAAACTTTGCCAGAATTTGCCGGGCAGTGAAAATGGTCAGTTAAATAAGACTTGTCTTATCCAACTTACAGCATTGATTGATCACCTGATTTTGTCTAATCTGGTTGGTCGTTTGATATGTGCCTTCATTATTAGGCAGTAAACATTGCATTTGTAAGCTCAATTCCTGATGTAATTTTATTTCTATTTTGTATTATATTTACTGGAGATGAACTCATACATATGTTCAGTGAAGATTTATATTACCGAGCAGTGTTGCAAGTAGGACTTGTTTAGTGCTATAACTTAAATCACAAGAAACCAAAAGACGGGGTGAGAAACTGCAGATCGAGATGTTAACGCAAGAATGAAGTATATATATTTACATACAAATTTACAAGATATGATATTCGCGAGGACATTGGTGCTGGCCTTTCACGAGGATATTATTAGTATTACTGCAGAGGCCAAGGAATTACGTCCACTTACTTCAATTGGTTCCGAAATTACATATTCGAACACGTATCAAGCTGTCAGTTTAAGTACTGCCGGCAATTCTTCGAATTACAGTAGCAGGGGATTTTCTTGCCTTCATCTTCATGGTTAAAATTGTAATCATATGTAATCTCTTCTCCAGGATAGATGTCTCTCTCAGCAAAAAATACTACCTGCATATTGATCAAGGTTTAGTATTTTAAATTTTAGTTTTAGTTACCAACATACTAATTATATGTTTAAATTGAAAAGTGGGAAGCATAACTATGCAATGTAACAAAATATAAGTGAAAAAAAAGTAAAATGAGATGTGTCTACCTTCTTCTCATTCCTCACAGAAATGATTCTGGCAACGCAGTTTGGCTGGTAAAAGAAATTGGGAAAAGAAGGAAAGCTCAGTCCATCGTGGAACGATAAACTGACATCAATCTTTTATTTCTTTCTCTTGAAATAAAGCATAAATTACATGAGAAGTATTAAAGCAGAGACGAAATAATAATCAAAATTGGTTTGCGAAAGAGTTGGCACTGTAACACAATTGGACAGGAGAGCAACAGGACAACATTGTTGTAGAAGACACTTACCATGCATGAATGGTTCACGAATCGAGCAATACCTCCCTTTTGGGTTGCATCGACTATATGCTCTTGATCAATCCTAAAGAAATAACAAGCACTCTTATACTGCAGTTTCTTTCCTGACAGGTAATCTACTTCTCTTTTGTCAGCCACACGGAGCCCCACTATCTCACCCACATATTCAACAACCTAGAGGGGGAAAAAAAAGAAAGTTAATTTGCTGATGAGAAACATATAAATTCAGAGGAAGAGTGTAGACGCAGATGAGACCATTTCGCCTTGTGAAATAAACCTAGATGTGTAAAGACCAAGCGCGTGAATGCCAGATTTGTATACAACCAAACTCTTCCACCCTTTGGAGTATTTATAGCTAGCATATTCCTTCTGGAAACATAAAGTGTAACAAAAAAGTAAGAACATCAGTAACTGAATTCAAAGCGCACAAGAACTTAAAAGCTACACGCTTGACTTGTCAGTTGGACCACTATAGGGTTTAACGATTCAGCACAATGTGCCTTGTCAAGCAACCAACTGTTACTCAGACATACCCGATAATCATATTCAGCATCTTTAGGTGGAAGCCTTGAAACCTCTTTTCTAGATCGCTTTTGTCCAGTTATGTGAATCCAGGCATTTAGCTGCTCCTGGGCAACGAGGCATCCACCACCAGACTCAGAATAATGAGGAAAATTATACCGCACTCCTTCCTTTTTGCGACCCTTGTATCCCTGAATGTAGAACAAGTCTTAGAAAATCTTTAATTCAGGAGTTCAGTACATCTAAACTATTATTAAGAAACAACAAACCTCAGTTCGAGCACAAGTAGAACCTCCTTCTCCCGGATGAATGCCTACAGTACCAACCAGATTTTTGTTAGATATATGTCCCTTGAGCATTTAACCTGGTTCTGAAAATCATACCTTCAAGTTTCGACTCATAAAGGCCTCGTTTGTGAATCTCCTTGGACTTTGGCTTCTGTTGAGTTGGCAGAGAATCATCTGCAATATTACCAGTATTTACAAGGCAATCATACCTTCTCTTCTCTAGAGAGTAGAATAAGCCAGCCCCTAGTTCACCTCCATGGCAATGATCCAATTCACTAGATGTCAAGAGATGACTTTTAGATTTTTTGGCAGTTACAACACGATGAGCATTGCAGCTCCCAACTTTCTTGAGATTCCAAGATTTGTTCATGCATTGATGTTTTCCTTTTGCACTTGCCTTCCTGAATTTTACAGAAGTCACTTTCGCAGTGTAGTTTCCAGAGAAGCTACACTTAGCCAATGAATCACAAATTTCTCTCAGAGAAACAAATTTAACTGGTTTTGATGGATTCCCGTTAGAAATTACACCATATTTCCCACACACTATAGGTCTTACTTCCCTTCTAGAAACCTTCTCATGCATCTCAGAAGACATAGAGGTATCTACCAAACTGCACTTAGCTACTGCTTCATCACCTAGATTAACTTCCTCGTCTATCTGCCTAACAGGTGTTGCAATATCCAACTTCGGCCTCTTTCTTCTTGGTAATTCACAAGTTACAAAGGTATCATCATCGCCAACCTTCAAAAGATCTGACTGAGTACCAATAGTTTTTGCTTCATGGCATTTAACTTTGCTATTGCAAGAAAGAGTATTCAATGAACGCATTCTGAACCTCCTCTCTCTGAAACTTGGTTCTATGGAATATGCACATTCTTCTGCACTGCCATCATCAGATGGGGGGGCACTTTTTTTATACTTGCACGAATGACATTGTAGCCCAGCACCACAAGTGCCCTCTGGATAGCCACAAGCAGAGTAGACGGCAGGAAATGTTGTATCCAACTTTCTCCACTTGGTTCTTTTTCTAATCACTTTATTGGATATATCAGCCACTTTCTGAATACTACGGCTCTTTTCCTGAATGCTGAAACTAGAATGGTTCTGCATTTTGTTCAATCTTAAGGAATCTCTTAGTCTAAGTTCGTCAATCAGACTACGAGAAGAATTATCAGCAAACCTTTTGGATGGCCCTGCATCTATGGGATTGAATTCGCAAGCAACACCGAAAAACTCTGCACTTTGTTCACTGCACTGCACATCATTAGATGACCAGCATCTGTCGATTCCTGATCCTTCATCTACCACAGCATTACTTGCCACAGTATTTTGACCATCAGCAGTAGAGAAATATTTGTCATGAATCATAGCAGATACCTCAGTAACAACAGGCGTAGATCCTCCAGATGAAACATTGGACATTTCTGGCTCCTTTAGACATTCAACATTTTGAACAGCTAAATCACAATTGGGTATTTTTCCACCAGCATCTGCACTTTGTCCCCTCATTTTTTCATTCACGTTCAGGAAACTTGTTGTCTGTTCCTTACATGTCAGACTAGNGTTCCTTACATGTCAGACTAACTGCTCCTGTCACCTTTTTGGGAACATCTCTCCATTGAGAAGAGTGACACTCCATTTTGTTTATCTTATGCCCCATTAAATTACTATTTTGTTCCAAAGAGGCCACATTCTCCAAGGGAAACTTCTGACTGTCATTCAACTTACAAGCAAATAAATTCTTCTTAATGCAGCCAGAAATTCCTCTCTGTTCTATCCGAGTAGTATGCGGAGGTTCACCAATGAATTGATGTTTTTCAAGGGAAGTGTCTGGCTGAACAGCACAGCTACAGCAGTAAGACATAAACGAATTTGGTACCACCTGAAAGCATTTTGCTTGCTCAACTGATGGAGTATTATTGCTTTCAGAATCTCCATGTCTAAGCTCGTGTAAAATCAAGAAATCAATCAGCACGAAAACTTGAAGGATGAAGATAAGAATAAGATCAACTCAAATGCATGAAAACAGACATGAGCATTGAACGAACAGATACTGATTCTCATTGTTACAGTTATAGTTCTCAAATAACTTTTATTTGATACAATAAACTCAATTTCCCGAACCCCCCTACCTAGGAATCCAACAGTAGTCCTTTCCCATTCTGTTCCCTAAGTGACTCAAAACCCAACTTTATGGTTAAAAATGGAGGGTCTTTACCAATAAGCTTTCCCTTGTATACAACAACAACAACAAACCCAGTTTGATCCCATAAATAGGGTCTGGGGAGGGTAGTGTGTACGCAAACCTTACCCCTACCTCATAGAGATAGAGAATTTGTTTCCGATAAAGCTTTCCCTTGTATATGGTTCTCAAATAAATTGAAGGATATATTATATGGGCCTCTCTCTAGATTGCATCATTTTTTTGAAAAGGTAAGTTATATATTAAAAAGAGGAACAGCTTGGCACCAAGATGGTGCTAACACAGTACAAATATCAGAAACCCCTCTGTACAAAACCAAAAAGAATGATTCATACTGTGAAGTCCTATCCTTGTAAACAACAACCCAGTATAATCCCACAAGTGGGGTCTGGGGAGGGTAGTGTGTACGCAGACCTTACCCCTACCCTGGGGAGTCCTATCCTTGTAAAGATTCAATGAAATCTATCATGCTATCATCAACATCCTTTACATCCTGTAGATTACACCAAAAAGCCAAAAGCCATACACATTTGTATTTAAGCTCTTGTATGCTATCAATCTTCCCTTCGAAGCATCTGGCATTCCCTTCCTTCCATAAAACTAGATTGCGTCATTCAAGGATCCTCCTTTCTACTTTGAAGTAAAAGTAGAAATATTTCCAATAGACAACGGGTTCATAAATAATTTGCATCACTCCAACCACTACCTTAAGGTTTTGGATTGGATGTGCTCAAGTTCTTTCATATGATTTAAGAACTGATAGAGTTCTACAGTTCAAGTCTCACTGTAGTGCATCAACAAGAGTATTTCCATGTGCTTGGAGCGAGAAGAAAAAGGTCAGGGTCACACATAAGCGGAGGAGGGCATGCTACAGACCTAATAAGATTAATCAAAGTCTCCTCTTCGACATTTCGATTTTTAAGATGAGTTGGTTTACATAATTCAACAGGGTATCGGAGCTAAATTTTAGCAAGCTTATTATCACATTCATATGTCCACATTAAAGTTTACATGTAAACTCCAGAGTTGGATTACACGTGCTGGTTGTTGATTTATATAAAGTTCACATAAGATCCCAGTGCTTAATGATTATTTTTTTTGGACAAGCAATATCATCGCTTTATGATTTTTGGTTAGATAATCATATTCTTTTAGATTTCATTTTGGAGAATGTAACTAATGTGCTCCCAGAAGGCCCATATCAATTCTTTTTTTATTTTTTTGACATAAATGAATTTGGTGCCACCTGATAGCATTTTGCTTGCTGGTTCTCAACAAAGATTTCCAATTGGAATATCATGACCTCTCGAGATAGAGAAAGGAAGATCCATATTTATTACTTGTAGTCCTCAAACTTCATTAACTTCAAGATTCTTTTAACGTGTGCTTTCCAAAGTTAAAGTCATAAACACTAGTCAATTACCCTTGTTCCGTACAATTTTAAAGATACATTACCAACAAACTATTTGGGAAAACAACACTTTGCATTTTTTTTAAACAGTGGCATCCCAGCCAGCTTGAGTGCACCTCCCACCAACACAGGTACTAGGTGACTTTGTCAACTAAGGCTTAGGCGGATGGGAAGAAATCACCTAGCGTTTTTTGTCTTTGTTGGAATTTGAACCCTAGTCTCCAAGGTTTGCACCCCACTTCATTGACCACTAGACCAAACCCTTGGATGCTTTTTGCATCTTATCTTCGTCATCTTTTAAAAGGAAATAACCTGATACTGCATTAAGACAAATTAGTATATCTGGAACTACTTCAGAAAATACTCTATACTACCTCTACCCAACTTAGGTGACCTTATTGGTTTAAACATGCTTATTAAGATGACATCAGAGTATTGCAGTAAAGAGAGAAGTGGATACTGGAGACAATGTTATTTATGAAAAGTTAGAAACTTTCCTAAAATCCAAGTGGTCCCATAGTATTTTTTCTGTTCAATATTATTGGAAGAAGTATTGAAACACTTTCATATTTACTTAAGTTATAATCTGGGGACAACCCAAAAGGAAAAGGAAGTTATTTGGGAGAGAGGGAGTAGTACATACTGAATCTCTGTATACAACAAATTAAATATCTTCCAGGGTGACTCAGGCCAAGAGCAAAGTTATAACCTAACATCAACACTAACGGAGAGAATTGATTACAAACCATGGAAAAGCAAGGTTACAGAAAACGTTTCAAGAGAGTTACCTAAGGTAAGGCCAGTGAACTGCAGTATAAGCAGTGGAAAGCTGACAGTGCAATTCTTTGTCTTGAGCATGCAGAGATCCTCCATGTGAGAGAGCTGAAAAATTGCAACCTTCAAGCAGATCTGTATAGACATAAACTTCCTCTTCATTACAATAATAAATCAAACAAGATACAGAGAATAACTGAAACAGAAACAGCAGTGCTTTACCAGTATTAGGAGCTAAAAGTTGACTATGTTTTCCCATGTAATCACTAACCCCAGGGAAGGCAGATACTGCTGCAGTCTTAGACGCAAGTGGCGTATTTGCGACATAGGGTTCATATAACTGGTTTATGGATGTTGGCGCTTTGCCAAAGGGATTCCTGCATAGCACATGCTCTTTGGTGGCTGTGGTAGAGGAACTGACAAGCACCGGAGTAGGAAATTCCAACCCCTGATGCAAGGTTTGCATTCTTGGATTCTCAGTGTGTTCAATCGGCCTTCCATTCAAGCTCTCTTTGCTAGATGATTGTAGAGTTCGATTTCCAATTAATGTTGAACTTGATAATGGAAACCCCAACGTGACTGCCTGAGATGGTGGAGCTGCTCTAGAGTCCATTGATTTACAGACAGATCTGATACTACCATTATCAAAGGTTCCATTATGGGAAATTAAGGATGTCTTTCCATACAAATTAAGGGTGTTCTGAGCACCAGGAATATCCATCATCATACCATAGGGCTTGCACGAGTAAAGGTTCTTCTCATGTAAGGCCAAGCAATTGCTATGACCAATCCCTTCTACAACTCTCTTAACAGTCGTTTTATTTTCATAATACTTGGAGTAGAGTCCAAAGTTTAATTCAGTGGCACCATGGAAATTAGCAATATTGTTGGCCACACCTTTATCACTGTTCCCATGTCCAAGAGCACATGAAGTGTCAACTTTAAATTCCTTATTAGTCATATTACCTCTAGCACAATGAAAATCAGTTTGGTCGCACTTTAGATTAAGGGATTTACACTGAGGTTCTCCAGGTGGAATATGACTTATATTAACCATATTTTTGGCAGCTTCAGAGTACAGTATTCCTTCTGTACCCTTGAAGCGTGCTTGAAGCATAGGAAATACCGAATCTCTTGTTCTGGATTCACCTGTTGCATTGTGGAGTCCATAGGCAGAGTTGACAAGGTCCAGCTGGCCCTTTCCACTTCTTGGACTCAAATTCAACATATGAAAATTTGACCTGCTTTCTTCCACTGGACGTGATTCAACTGCTGCATGACACTGACAGGTATAAACTTAAAGGGATATCAAGAACTAGAGGAATAAATTCACAAATAAAAACAGACCTTTATGCATAAGGGTCTCTGGAAACAATGATTGTTGATACTCCATTGGTTTGACAGTGGGATGATACTCAAAAGATTGTTGAGCTGAAGTTCCAAACTTTTTGCTTTGCTGGGATGGATGCCCAAGTCTCAACTCAATACTTGAGGAGATACTACTCCCATCCATTTGCATTAGTGAACTGTTGATACCAAGAGATTTTGAAAATTTGAGATCTGGAAGAGAGTTGAAGGTATTTGTGTCCTTAGAGTTTGAACCAATATAAGCTGAAATGAATGAAGAACCATTCTGTGGGTCTCGTATCCCATCTAAGTTTGACAATGTCGGACGCTGAGGGTCCTTTGAAATAAACATATTGTTCGATGACTGTCCAGCTCCACTTGAAGCTCCAAATGCACGAGACTGCTCAGCATTTGGAGATAAATTGGGAAGGGATGGATAAAACTCTCTCAAACCAGTACTCACTGGAAATACTTCAGGCCAGTCCCATCCACCATGATCGTCAGGAGCCCTAATCTAAATTACGATAGAAAGATCACCATTCATGGCTCTTGTGCTTCCAATGGATGCCATTAACAAGTACTTTATCAATAGACATAATAAAATAGAAAAACTAGGTTCTTAAAGTCTGCTGTAAATAAACTAAACAGAACAAAGTCAAACAATTTAGTGCATGCAACCCTAGACATAGTGGTCTAGCTTGCATCTGTACCGCGTATGTATGCTATAATGCTATATAAGCTTTCAAAAGTAGGTGCACCATAGTCAGACCATCATAGCAGGCAGAGCACATTTTATCAGGATCTGAAATCCAGTAGTTCATAAAAAGATATTCTTGTAGCTTTTTTCATCAAAATATATAGATAGCTACTAACATATAATTTAAGTGGACAGCATATAATCAAGCAAAGAAATAAGTGGAAGGTTTTCTAAGTTGACTGTACCAAGGTCACCACATAGAGTGATGCTAATGAATTGCAAATTGCCCTTCTACCTTCCCAGAGATGATAAGAAAGAAATTTGGAACGCTAAATTTAGTGATCCAAATTATTATCCTTCTCCTTCACAACTTTGCAGCAACTTTCTGTTTCCAAATTCTCCTTCAATCAATCAATCAATTATGCCTCAATGCCAATTAGCTCCTAGATCTCCTTAGAAAAGTTTCTATCAAGGTTCCTAAAGCAATTGAAGATCTGATCAAAAGATGACAACCTGAGCAGACTATGTTTCCTATTAAATAGCGAACGCAAAATCCTGACCATTCCATGAACCACAAAATTGATCTACATACCAGGTAACATTGAAATGGACCCCCTCCCACAGTTATATCATGAACATAACCTAAATTGATTACACAAATACAAAAACATTTCAAAGAATGTAGCTACCAAAAAATAAATAATAGCACGGATTTTGAGGCATAGAAGAAATAGATGTTAGATACCTCACATATTCCTTACCCCTAGTTCTTGGAAGAAGACCTTCCGCCAATGAGCTATGGTTACACCACTGTCCATACAAACAGCATTCCCAGGATTAACATCAGATAAACCAGAATGCTGCACAAAAGATAAAACTTCAAACAGTTATCAAAAAAAGTCTTTAACTTAAGTAATAAACAAAAGAAAGATATGGAAATATCAAGTACTCCAACAGAAGTGCCTTTCCTTCCAAAGACTGCAAAAAAAAAAAGGAGATTTCAGAAATAACTAGTACCTCACAGAACCTAGAAACAGACATATGTGAACCATGGCACAAGCAAATAACTCCAAGAAGACCAGTATTCCTGAGAACCAGATATCCACCTACATTCAACGACCAAAATACTAATTAGAACATATAAACATAGTATTGATGAAAAGTCAAACTAACTAGTGGGTTACTCACTTAAGCCCAAACAGAACACACGGGGATAGCTGCTCAGAGCTGGAGACAACTGCCCAGAAGATCCTGTTTCCAGAAAAACCTTTCTAGATGTCAGAATATCAGGTATGTCATTAAACTTCATGGCACTATTTGGGATTGATTCTGCATCGGAAGCCCCTCTAGGAAAAGAAAAATGCTTTAGTTTCTCATTGCCAACATAATGGGATGGAGCAGTTGGCTTAGCCATTTCATGTCTTGGATGGTTTATTACAGCAGTTGATTTAAGAGTATCTCCAGCTTTTAACTTGTGGCTGCTAAAATATTGTGACAATTCAACAGCAGGAACAAGCACTGGTCCATTCGTAGAAGCAGATCCATTGGCATTGTTACGATATATTGGCTTTTCATTCAGCGTGAAGACTGATTTTAAATTTGATGATTGCTGAAACTTCCCTTGTAAAGAGGGCAGTGGACCAGAAAGAAAAGATATGAATGAACCACTGAACTCAGCGGGACTAGAGTTATCCGCAATTGAATTTGAAGTCCGTGGAAGAGTAGACTGCTGTACTATTCCATTTCCCAGTGACACTGAATCTTGAGGAATGCTCGAGTAAAAATTTTGACCTGCATTAGGAAACTACAGTAGGGGGTAGGCAGTGAGAAGGACAAATTAAATAAAGAAAAATGAGAAGAATCTACAAGACCCAGTCTAACAAAAAAGATTATGGTAATAATTGTCCAGTATAACAAAGATAGAAGTTACTTGGAAAGGGAAAGCCTCAAGCAACAAGGAAAAACAATGTTTGATAGGCATGTATATTTTGTGCACCTACAGCTGATGGAAACTTTTTGCTACAAAACAGTGGCTCACACGACATCTAATTACAGCACCCAGAAAGAAACTCTTTAGTGACATTGACTATCTGAGCATCATTCATAGCATAGTTTGCTTTCATTGATCAAAAAACCAAAATAAGCCTCTGAAGAATTTCATCTAATTAATCTACATTACACAAATACATTCCCAATGCTTTCTGGAGTTTTCGGAACATTCATTTTCCATAGAAAACTTTTCTCAGTCTAGTTTCTCCACTTAGAAAAGCCACTTCATTATGATGCAAAAGAGGTGCCAGCTATTTAACTATGTAAGAATCGGTGACCCAAACTACAAACCTAGTGCCTAATCATAAACATGAAGATACTAAACGAAATACAATTTACAACCTCCAGTCTGCTTTAACTCATCCAAAGACACTCTTCCTTTGATGCAATAGCAATACAATTCTTTCCATTTTCTATTTCAATAAAATGAAAACGTAATATGTGGCACACACTTGTTTCCTATTAACTCTAAAAGATGTAGATATCTCTCAATGCTCATGTCAACTCTAGACAAAAAAGCTAGATTTGTTACAAGGTCTTTTTTCTAAACTCGTCATGTAATTCAAGGAGTAAAAACGAGGGCTTTTTTACTTTTGGTAATTAAAGGAGGCTTTCTTCATATCTTCCAAAGATTTGCACCATAAAATGAAATCTAATTTGCTCAATCTGGACTACACCCCCTATGTACTCTACTCGTCTAGTTACATGCATTCTACATGAAATGGTAAGATTCATAAACAATAAATACAAATTACAAAAAGCTAATTAACCAGGGGCGTATACACCTTGTCTTATGCGGTGCAACGAGACACAGCTTACCCGAATTTTTTTACTAATTATGTATAAGAAAAATAAAAATATTAGGGATAAATATAGAAAATGACACCGCTTACAACTACAATAAGTTATTTATTTGTTCATTTCTTCAAATTGTGACACCGCTTATGAAAAATAATGTGTGCGCTTACCCATCATGTTCACCACATTTTCCTCCAAAAGTACATGCATTTCACAGAATAAGCTAAAATTAACATGCAAGCAAGAAAAACGCAAAGAAATTATAATTATCAACCAAAAAATAAAAAAGAAAAAAGAAAAACCTGAGAATGGGAATCCGGGAGTGATGAAGAAACAAGTGGTGGAGACGTTGACTGCCACATTGACCCACATTTCCTCTGCCAACAATTATCCATCTCTTTAACCTTTTAAAACCCTATCCTTTCTCCATCAAAAACTTCTCATAAAAAAAAAAAATAGTTCAACAAATTAAACCCATGTTCTAATCAAAACCAAATCCAAACAAAAAACCACACTTCTCAGGAATTTAAAAAAATCAAATTCAACCCAGTAAATGTGTAGAAAATATTAAAAATTCACAACGCAGAAATAGTAGTATTATCTGTGTATAAAGAAAGGGCACTAATGATGGGGGAATTTCAAGAGAGGGGTAGCGACAATAACATTAAGCACTGATAATAATGCGATTGGGAAATTGATTGGACGGATATGGGCCGTTGGATAGAGGTTTTAGTGGGCCCTGAACCGTTGATTGGATTTCCAGCTGTTGGGAAAAAAAAGTGCACGAGGAGTCAAGTGACTGAACCCTTGTAAGGTAACAGTTGGCGGGAAAAAGTGTAAAGGGATGGGACCTACTTGGCTCAGTTGGGTCACGTGACGTATTCATTATTATTGGTAGAAGACTGAAGACTGAAACTGATGAGTCAGCACCTGTCATGGCTTGAATGGGGCCCATGTTGTGTCTTCAATTGGGCCCTACCAAAACTTTATGTTGGGCTTATCGGGGTTATACTGGACCAGGCCATCAGGTGTTGATAATGGTCCAATACTTTATTCTAAACTAGGCGAAGATGGCCCGCACCAGCACGGGCCCAATAGTGTGAAACTTAAAACTAATTATTTTTTATCAGGTTAGTATCAAATGAGATATAAACAACATTGCAAATAATAAAATGAGATATAAACAACATTGCAAAATAAAAATATACAAATTATTCATAAATAATGTATAAGGTTTGAAAGATTTACTAAAATAGAATAGTCTAATTTAGTGACATCAATTATGGCTTAGGACATTTGATGACCTCTCTCCTCTTCTGTAAGCTCCACAAAACATAATCAAATGGTATGGCTATCCAAGTCTCTTTCAATTCTTATGTTGGCGTGTTTTTCCTTGTTGCAAATTACAACGAGGAGGTACTTTGCCGCTTCCCCGACGATAAACATTTGGGATAAACAAAAAATAAGATACTCCACGTCTATGTCTCAAATAAGATTCTCATCAGGACATCTCTTATATTCTAGATGAGCATGAACTGGGACCAACTCTTATTTGCCTTATATTATAGGTTTTACAGTTAAGGCACTTGTGTGCCAGAATATGAAAGTTAAAACATGATATTTCCTGCGGTTATGTGATAACCCAAAATGTCATCTTTAAATTTAATGATTAATTATGTGATCTAAGCACTATTTACCATTTTTCGACTTGAGTGTGCAGTCCGTAAAAAATTTCCGAAAAGTTTTCAGGTGAAAAATAGATTAAAATATGAATTAGATGTTTAAAACATAACTGAGTTGACTTTGGTCAATATTTTGAGCAAACAGACTCGGATTAGTGTTTTGACAGTTCCGATAGGTCCGTATCGTGAATTGAAACTTGGGCGTATGCCCGAAATCAAATTCCGAGATCCCTAACCCTAGATATGGAATTTTGATGAAAAATTTAAAGTTTAAGTTCAAATAGTGACCAGATATCGAATTATGTGCAAATGACCCCGGAATAGAATTTTGATGATTCCAACAGCTCCGTATGATGATTTTGGACTTAGAAGCGTGATCGAAATTTTATTTGGAAGTCTGTGGTGGAATTAGACTTGAAATGCTGAAAGTTGAATTTTTTGAAAGTTTGACCGAGGGGTCGACTTTTTGATATCGGGGTCGAAATCCAATTCTGAAAATTTTCATAGATCAGTTATGTCATTTATGACTTGCGTGCAAAATTTGAGGTCAATTGGACTTGATTTGATAGGTTCTCGTGTTGTTTGTAGAAATTAAAAATTTCAAAGTTCATTAGGCTTGAATTGGGGTGTAATTCATGGTTTTAGCATTGTTTGAGGTGATTTAAGGATTCGACTAAGTTTGTATGATGTTTTAGTACTTATTGGTATATTTGGTTGAGGTCCCGAGGGCCTCGGGTGAGTTTCGAATGGTTAACGGATCAAGAATTGAACTAGAACAGCTGCTGCAATTTCCTTCTCTTGGAAATGTGTTTCTGCCCAGAAATCGAGCTGAGAATCGAAGGCAGTCTCGAGATCCATGATTGAAGGCCACTGATCGAAGGCCCAGGATCGAGGGCTATGACCAAGGCCAGTGATCGAAGGTCATAAAGATCAAAGCCATGATCGATAGCCAGGATTGATGGCTGTGATCGAGCCCCAAGGTTGAGGGCTATGATCGAAGGCCATGACCAAGGTCCATGATCGAGGACCATGATCGGACTCCCCTTAATCAGACTCCCCGTGATCGGACTCCCATGATCGAGGTCCAGGATCGGACCCCATGATCGAGGTCACCCTGAACATATCCGTAAGTTATAAAAACAGGGGGGTTTCGTCCCATTCGCCATTTTTAACAACTTGGAGCTTGAGCAGGGGCGATTTTTGATATATCTTCAAGGAAAAATATTGGAGTAAGTGTTCTTAACTCAATCTTGGTTAGATTACCCGAATCTATCACTGTTTTTAATATTTAATTGGTGATTTAAGTTGGAAAAATTTGAAAAACCCTCTTGGATAGATTTGTGGATTTGAGGGTTGAATCGTTATTGGAATTTAGTCATTTTGGTATGGTTAGACTCGTGGTTGAATGTGCGTTCATATTTCGTAACTTTCGCCGAATTCTGTGATGTGGGCCATATGGAAAAATTTTGAGCTAATTTCGAATTTTATTGAAAAATATAATATTTTCTTGTGAAATTGATTGCTATAATTTTTGTTGACTGTATCGAATTGATTATGACTAGATACGAGTCGATCGGAATCGGAAAATTGAGGATAAATCATAATACTTGATTAAATTGGAGCAAGTCGAGGTAAGTGACTTGTCTAACCTTATGTGGGGGAAAATTTCCCTATAATTGATATTAATGTGATTATTGAAATATGTTGAAAGTCATGTACACGAGGTGACGAGTGTGTACACGGGCTAAATGTGAAGAATTATATTTTTAAATTGTGTAGATCATTGTGGTGCATTTATTAAAATATTCTATCTTGTTATATTCTTCATCGTTGATTAAATATTTATATTTTAAATTTGTTTGATCTTCTCCTGCTAATTGTTTTATCTGTTTAGTTGGAACTTGGTTTTTTTTATTCTGTGCATTATTTGAAGGTTGATTTTCTTTAAATTAAACATTATTAATTTGAAGTATTCGGCATTTTTAAACTTGATATTGAAGCAACGTATTAAAGATTTTGAAATATTATTTTCCTGAATTATTTACTCCTGAATATTTTTGTAAGATTTCCGTACTGATTGTGATGGAGCAGTGAGCTCTTTATTGTGGAAAAATATTATTGTTGAATTATTTTGGCAAGTTAAATTATTTGGGCACTTGAGGTACAAATTGTGATATATTGAGATATTGATACGCATGCGGTGGTATAAGGTCTGGGTGTTAAAATGCATGCGGTGAGATAAATGTGGCTTGATACGCGTGGCTAGTAGGGGTAACTACTAGAAGTCATGCGGTGTGATAAGGGTGGCTAAAACGCGGGATGCTATTTCGAGAAAAATATTTTCTTTAAATAAATTGTGAAGGCTCCCGCGGTGATATAAGAAAATGAGATATTGTGAATTTATTTATAATTTGGGACTACGAGGCGGTACCTCGGTATNTGATTTGGCTAGGCATGCACCAGCCTTAGTTGCTACTGTTCGAGAGCGGGTTCACAGATTTATTTAGGGTCTTCATCCTAGTATCAGATACAGTATGGCCCGAGAGCTAGAGATGGACATCACATACCAACAGGTGGTGTCAATTGCTAGAAGATTGGAAGGTATGCAGACTCGGGAGAGGGAAGAAAGGGAAGCTAAGAGACCCCGAGATTCTGGAACATATAATAATTCTCGTGCCCCAGCTGCAGCCCGTCATGGTAGAGGTTATGTGAGTCATCCTATTCATTCAGCACTTCCAGCTTCCAGTGGTATTCCGACCACTCCTAGAGTTCATGTTCCATATTATGCACCACCAGTGTCTTCTGTACCTCCTGTACGGGGTGCTTTCAGCGGACAGTCTAGTCGATCAGGCCCGAGCCAGTCCCAACAGCCACATCCTCCGAGGGCTTATTTTGAGTGTGGTGACACTTGTCATATTATGAGAGATTGCCCCAGATTTAGGAGGGGTGCACCCCCACAAATTTCTCAAGCCCCACCTATTCCACAGGGTCCTCAGGCTTCTCAAGCCATGATTACTGCACTAGTTGCCACTCCACCTGCACAGCCAGCTAGAGGTGGAGGTCGAGCAGGTAGAGGTCGCCCTAGAGGAGGAGGTCAGGCCAGATATTATGCCCTTCCTGCTAGGACAGATGTCGTTGCATCCGATTCTGTTATCAAAGGTATTATTCCGGTATGTCATAGAGATGCATCAGTTTTATTTGATCCAGGCTCCACTTATTCTTATGTGTCATCTTATTTTGCCCCGTATTTGGGCGTATCACGTGATTACTTGAGTTCTTCTATTTATGTATCTACACCCGTGGGTGAATTCATTATTGTGGACCGTGTGTATCGGTCGTGTTTAATTGTTATCAGTGGTTTTGAGACCAGAGCTGATTTATTATTGCTCAGTATGGTGGATTTCGATATTATTTTGGGCATGGACTGGTTGTCGCCCTATCATGATATTCTTGATTGTTACGCCAAGACGGTGACATTAGCTATGCTGGGTCTACCGCAGCTAGAGTGGAGAGGTACCTCGGATCATATTCCTAGAAAGGTTGTTTCATTTCTTAAAGCTCAACGAATGGTTGAGAAGGGATGTGATACATATCTGGCCTATGTGAGAGATGTTAGTATTGATACTCCTACTGTAGAGTCAGTTCCTATAGTCAGGGATTTTCTTGATGTATTTCCAGCAGATCTTCGAGGTATGCCACCTGACAGGAATATTGATTTTGGTATTGATTTATTACCGGGTACTCAGCCCATTTCTATTCCACCATACCGTATGGCCCCGGCAGAGTTGAAAGAATTAAAAGAACAGTTACAGGAATTGCTTGATAAGGGTTTCATTCGGCCTAGTGTATCGCCGTGGGGTGCTCTTGTTTTATTTGTAAAGAAGAAGGATGGTTCTATGCGGATGTGCAAGTTGAACAAGGTTACAGTGAAGAACAGGTATCCATTGCCAGGTATTGATGACTTATTTGATCAACTTCAGGGTGCCAGGGTATTCTCTAAAATTGACTTGCGTTCATGCTATCATCAGTTGAAGATTCGGGAGCCAGATATTC